CGGAGTGGTCCTCGAGGCCAAGGATTTTTTCACCGTCGGACCAGACAGGCGCGATCTCCACTGTATCACGTTGGATCAGTTCGCCATCGAAATAATGTCTGGACGCCGCGGTTATAACAAATCCCTAGTATCGGTTAAGGACTTCGTCTGGGTCTATAATGTAAAGCCCTCGCTCCAAGCGCTTAAGTCCCCCGTGACCGCCCTTCAGAAGGCTTCCATTCCACGGACGACTGCCCTCGAGACCACCTCGGTTTTCTTTTTCAGAGTCTCCCACTTCGCCTTCGTCACGCCCGAGAACCGCGAAGACGATATCTATGGCATGATTTTATCCCTCACATTCCGCTACAACCGCATCCTCAACGCGCGAGCCGTTTTTGAGGGCTGCCCAGACGCGGTTACAATTACGCCGTTCGTCTGTTCCTTTTCTCTGGACGACCTCTCACAGTATGAGATCGTCGCGGCGCGCGCTCGCAAAAATGTCTCCTCTGCGATGCGCTTCTCAGAGCCCCCTGCGTCGCTGCATGCTCGCGAGCAGCTAGCAGACATCGTGCGCTGCTTTCTCCCCATGCACCCTGAGGAGGGAATTCTCCCTCTGACGGTGTCAAAAATTTCTCGAGCAGAGAGAGATTGGCTTCAGGACCGACTCGGTTCATTTAATAATTTTTTCAGGGATCCGGTTGGATCGAAGCAAAGGTTAGCGAAGATCTGCAACACCGCCTGTTCGGCGCTTGCTGCGGTCAACGCGGCAGGGGATGATCGACGCACGCACTGGGTGCCCGCCACAGTAGTGACCCCCCTATGGTACCCTCTTCGCCTGAAATTGTCTCTCACAGAGATGGCGAGCGAAGCCGGATGGGCCCCTGGACGACATGTCGTCCTCTGGATACCGCGTTCAGACGGCCTTCTGTGGACGAAGGTCACCTCGGTGACAGCCGTTTCCCACGAGAAGCTGCTCATAGTAGTCATAGAAGCGTTCCGCTGGTCACACAACTCGCTCACTAGCTTAATCAGGAGATTCGGCCGCGACAGCGAAGACGGACGCGTCATCGACCTTTGCGTACGGCTAAGCAAGTCCACCATTGCAGCCAACCCCATTTACGACGTGGTATCGCGGACCCGCATTTTTGAGGGTCTCGTAAGCTCATCCATAGGTGACCAGGTCGTTCATATCCTGTTTGGCGACCACCGATTGGGCACTAGCGACGAGCCCTACCTCCACAACCTCCCACCACCCTCGGAGGCCCCCCTGTTCTTCATGGTAGGCGAGCGTAGGATAACGCTCACCCCCGACCAAAGAGACGCCGTCCGCGTCGGCACCGCGCAAATACCTCTCGTGGCAATACAGGCCGCGTTTGGTACCGGTAAGACCCTCGTGGGGGCCATAATAGCGGCCCTCATTTCGACTAAGACCAAGTCCACCGTAATCGTGACCACGTCGACCAACGCGGCGGTAGCGCAATTCACGGAGACGCTGCTCTCCTTGCGCGACTTTCCGCACATGCAAGTGGTCCGCCACATCTCCGACACTGCGGCCGCGGAGAACCTCTGCCCAACAGCGGTCGACCTGAGCAAGGTCTTGCAAAGGATACCTGACGCTTACCACGACCGCCTCCCGCCAGCAGAGCTACAAGCCTGCCGTAAATTCACGCGCTGCCGACAGCTACTCGAAGAATATCTCGCGCAGCCGGCGCGGGTCCCCGATATGTCGGACGACGACAAAGAAGAGTACGAGATAGCTGAGCGCTACGTCTCTCGTACCCTCAAACGTATGGTGCGCTTACTGTTCCACCTGAACCGTCCGGCGGTTATCTGCATGACCACCTCGTCCCTGCTCAATTCGACGGGTAGCGGTGGAATTTTTGCCCCCTACGTCGCTTCCTTCCGAGCCGTGATTGGAGACGAAGCGTCTCAAATCCCGGAGCCCGCCCTCCTTACAATAGCAGGTCGTCTACAGCACGCTCGCCATATATACATTGGCGACGTCCACCAGCTGGCCCCCCACGTGAAGTGCCCTCCCACCTCTAATCCGGCACTTCATGGCGCGCGTAGTGTCATGTCGCTCTTAGTGCACGCACCAGCTGTACCGGTGGCTCCCCTGATCACAACCTTCAGGTCCCACCCTGCACTAATTGCATTACCCAATGCCATTGCATACAACGGCGCCTTGGTCAGTGGGACGCCCGCGAATACACGGCGCA